CTTGCCGAGGTCAGGAACACAAAAAGGGACACAACAATGAGGGAAAGCCAAAAGTCAAGGATACCAGAATACAGGGAAGTCAAACAAAGCCAAAGTCAATAACCAGAAACAAACTATCAGGAACGCACACTCAGACAACAACTAAGGGAAACCATGACAGGGCAATGAGCTGAAGAAATAGATGAGCTTAAATACCCCACTTGTGCATCCGATTGACCGTAATCGGCCTCTGACCGCAGAACGTGCATGCGCGTCCTTTGCGTGACGTCACGCACACATCGAACTTGTCCATGCCGCGGGCGGACGTCTGACTACTAATTGATGTAGATCCGCAGCGGCCGGCATCCATTAACATGCTGCAGGGGTCAGACATATTAATGCATGGCCGCAGAACGACACTACCACACTTGTAGGAAAGGCAATTGTTATTGATGTCGCAAGGTGAGGATGAATATATTAAAGATGATTGCAAGGAGTTTGCCACACTTATCGCTGTTTATATAAAAGAATGCTTTGATGTGCTGGAGAGATCAATCTTGATAGGTGGCCAGACTTTGGGCTAGTATCGCCTGGGCCAAGCAAACAAGACAGTGTCATGTTTGGAGCAAGGAGAAAAAAAAATTACAAAATTATAGTCACCCCGCCCCCATGTCTTCCGCACAGGTGGTTTGGCCGATGGTGTTTGTAGTGTAGACCTGCAGTCTGAGTGGGTTCTAGGCACTCTGTTTGCAGGAGTTTGTGGTTTCCTCCGAGGTGATCCTCTGCTATTGGTGTCTCCTCTGGAGACGTGGCTCCTGCAAGGGGTGGATCCACATTCCCACCTGTCGGCTGAGGATTGATGCCCATCGATAACAGGATAGCTTGGCGCCTCCATGCAGACAGAGACAGTTGGGTTCCATTCTTCTTCGAGGGTGAGGAGGAAGGGAATTAGGGACAGGGGGTAAGGAAAGGGAGGAAGGGGGGATGAAGTGGAGTGAGGAGAGGGAGGGGAGAGGAAGGGAGGGGGAGGAGGAGGTGGGGAATGAGGGGGAAGAGAGGGGGAGGGGCAGAGACAGGAGAGGGGAGGAGGGGAAGAAAGGAGGAGAGGAGGGTGTTGTACAATTCTCAGATACGTGTCCTCAACTGGTGTTCCAGGTCGGCAGCGCAGTGGGTGAGGGCAGGCAGGTAAGTTATCAGTAGCAGGTTCAGTGTAGCAAAGCCAGTGGTCCTAGTGGACCTCTACGTGGGTAAATGTGTGCTAGTAAGGAGATAACGTGAGGGTCCTCATTATGAAGGAACTCCTGCAGCACGGGTGGTCACTTGACGTGGTCGTCGGTCCCTCTGGGGTAAGGCCAGTGGCCCTAGAGTATCAGGCAGGTAGAAATCTGAGGAGTCAGGTCACCTCATGTTAGTGAGAGTTCCTAAGTGCATGGGTGCGAACCACCACAGGTGGTGTAGTCAACGACAGATCAGACGGGAAAAGCCAGCGGTACCTTGTCCCTGCCGCCTGTAGGGCCCGGGTCAGGGGTCTGAGCAGCCTCCTGCATTGTAGCATAGCTGGGGAGAGGTCAGGGTTGGAGCTCTGAGTGCCTGTAGCGCAGCATGTCTGTCTCTCTCGCGGCCCTGAGGATGTACTCTTTTTCGGCGAACACCTCAAGGCAGCATATAACATCCCTGGGCAGCGCATCTGGGGGTCCATTCGGCAGCAGAACGTGGTGGGCTCTTACAAGCTGCAGTGGTGAGGTAAGATCCCTATTCAGTAGGCCATTAAAAATCTCCTTCAGGATGGCCTGGAGGTGTCAGACTCTGTCTCGGGTAAGCCGCGGAGCCTTAAGTTGTTCTGCTTCCCCCTGTTATCTAAATTTGCCACATGTATTGCCATACCTCGCAGGATGTCATCATGCAGTGTCAAGGTGTCCCCAGCTTGAGTGTGTGCTGACCGAAGCTGGCTGCACACAGCCTCTACACGGCCCACGCGGTCCCCAAGGCCTTGGATGTCGTCCCTAAGGTCCTGAATATTCAGCCGGATAGAGGCCTGCAGGGTGGTGTTGGCGGCCGCCAAGTCAGCACACATGGGCAGAGCTTGCAGGAGTCTTCCCCAGTCCCTGTCATGCAAAGCTGGTGACAGTTCAGTAGTGGAGAATGCAGGAGAGTGAGCCCCAACACTGTCAGAGTCCTCTTCCACGGTCTGGGAGGCCAGGTTCGACTGCGTGGAAAGGTAATGGGGCAACGAGGGGGTAAGAGACCCCTTTTTAGATTCAGTGGCTCTGTGGGAGCTCGATGAGCGATGTGTTTTGCCCATTGTAGATAGATAGGATGGGATTTTCTCTGGAATAACACAAGGAGGTTCAGGAGAGAAATTTTAAGCGGCCATCTCAGATCGCGGTCAGGCCTCGCCCCCCCGTATGTGATTATTTATTAACTTGATTACGCTAATGAAGTTTTCTTCAAAAAGATCACAATACATTCATACTTACCTGCTATAATTGCTTTATACTCTTGTAGTAACAATGTTTCATCCCATAATACTTATCTGTTTCCACCTTCTTTCCAATATTTATTGTCTGTTTTATAATATTTTATAATATGTCAGTATAACCCTCCAGCGTGCGTAGAATGTAGAATCAGGACAGGAGACAGTGCGCATGCATCACTGGCTCCACCCCAAAAGGGTTTATGGAATTTATAGCATAGACGTTACTGCAGTAGACACTTCAACTCCTACAAAGACTTTCTGTGCACATTAAGCTCAGCAGTTATATCAGAAATCAAGAAAGTACCATGATTGGCTAGGTCGTTTATTGATTCCCTGTAAGCTCAAAGCAGAAGCTGCAAATCATAGAGAATTGCAGCAAACAGAGACACTTCAAATTCAAATGTTTTATTTCACTTTCATATATTGTTGTATATATTTCTTTATACATTATTTGTATAATGCATTGAAAGAGGTTTGGGTCAACTGTAGCATTGAGTGTCCTTTTAATGAGGCATGTTTTGTATAGAATTTATTGTTATCAAGAAGAGTGGCAGCATTAACTGGTTTATTTTATACAAGTTTGTTCCACCTCAACATTTTTCCTACCGTTTCACAGCGGTTTAATTATTCAAGTGTATGAAATATGACACATTGATTCAGGAAGTGATAGAAGTGATATTAGTGACTCATTGGACATGTTCCCAAACCCGACACTCCTTACAGAGTAGGGACACAGGAAAGAAAGTGAAGAAAGGAACCTTATTGACAAGTTTACACCTCAGGGTTTACACCATCTGAATCATTCACCTGCTCGAGTCCCACAGCATGATGAAGTACGGAGCATATTCAACATTATAAAGGATCAAGGCTAAAATTATGCAAAACAGAATTATAGAAGACACTGGCTGCCAAGTCGGTTGTTTTTCCGTACAGATATCCCCTAAGGCAATAATACTCACAGTAAGGTGTATTTAAATAACAAAATATCAATTGTGTTTACAAATCAGTCGGTGTAAATAAGTCCGATCAGCCATGTCTCCTGGCCACACCCCATTAACACCCCTGAAATTTAGGTGTCCTTCTTTGTCTATTCGAAAAGGTTGGGAGGTATGCAGCAGGAAGATACAGAAGGAAAACAATGAAATCTAAACTGTACCCTGTTAGGAATACAACTACTGTGGGGGTGTGGGCAATATGGCCCATATCTGGTGGTTCTGCCCCAAATTAACTAATTATTGGAAAATGATTCATGATCTAATTATTAAAGTGAACAGAACAATTAGCATCTTAACTTCAGAACTAGCCTTATTTAAAAAAACTCCCAGAGTCCGTTAATAGATCAGATAAAATAATCATAGGCCACATTCTGATCGCTGCTACATCCTGTTTACCTAGACATTGGAAGTCCCAAAATGTGCCATCTCTCAGAGAAGTTTTTAATTTGATTCTAGATAACAAGGCACACAAATTATCGCATAGAGCTAATATGCATGGTTTCCCAATATTAAAATATAATTGGGATAAATGGGAAGAAAAAATCAAAACAGTTTATGGTCTTTGATATATTTATTGTTAAAGTGCATTGATGTACATAATTTTTGCCATATACATTGTTATGCCTATTTCAATGATGGATGGATACCCCTTCCCATTTCCAAGTTCCCCTTCCTTTCCTACCCCTAATACAATGTTTGTATTATTATTACTTGTTATACAAAATTTTAAAACTTTAATAAAAATTATTTGAAAAGGAATACAACTGAAATTCAGATCTCAGTCAATGGCTAGTAAATGCACAAATGAGAATTGGCTAATGGCAGATCCTATTCTGCTATAAAAATAAGAGCAATAGAAGTATGAACAGTTAATTTATTTTACTATAGCTAAATAAAATGTCTAAACGTCTAGTATATGTGTAATAAATAGACTGTCTATAAATCTTCTACTTTATAGAGCATTCATTTCTATTAATAGAGGAACTGACACTTGGCTACTAGTGACCACCAATCTTACCCACAGCCCACTAACCATTCTTGGAGGGTTTACTGGTTCGAGATGTGCAGCAAGGATAAATATGAAACAATTGTAACTCTGATGCCTTTCCAGAGAACTTGTATCTCCATCTGGCTGAGATACTTGGCTTAAACAAGCGTGCTGGGAATGAATTTCCCATGATTTTCTCGGCACACATACAAAAGGTGCTAGAACACATAATATCAGTTTTATCACAAGAAATAAATTATCACCCTTTCTCTGGGAACTTGGTACCATACTGACAGTATAAGTGGAGCTTTAATGGATTTTTGAATAAAGTAGTAAATTCTTCAGATACAAAAACTAGCATAGCTATGTTTATGAAGAAACATTACGGCACGGATGAAGACACTCATATGATTTGTAGTTCACCTACAGCTGAAGTATTAGTAGTTCCCTAACCACGCAGGGGTACACTTCCATTTTCCATTATCAAGAGTTTTGCAATTTCTAAGAACTCTGAGCAGTTCGAGCCACAGTAATATATTGTTCTCAAGGATGTTACATTTCACCACCTCAGTCTATCAAAGAAGTCTTTGAGCTAAAAGCACTGTCACGTTAAACTCTGCCTTACGTCAACACATCACGCAGATCACAAGTTCATATTTTATTACATGGTGACAAACAGGTACAAAACAAGCGGAACATTTCACTTGAAGACACACAATGTACAGAAGTGATAATGCTGTCTTTAAATATTGTTACATAGGGAGTTATGTAATAAATGCACTTAAGTGGTACATGTGTAAACCAGATTAATCCCCATTGAACCCAATGATATGTTCCTACTAATTGCTCCATTTTTAGATCTTTTCGTAAAAATATTTAAAATAATGTGCTCTGCTCATCTGAGAAATTAGTAAAGATTTACTCTAAGCGCCATAACAATTTTTAATCACTGCAAAGGTTATGGTGCATAGACAACCTTACTTCCTGTCTCCCTTCCCTTCAGTATTTCAATCCTGTTCACATAAAACTCAGGAGCTCTGCTTACTTTCATTTGAAGGGTACCTTTTCCACTAACTTTTCAGAATGGGGCACCAGTGATAGAGCTTCTGCAGCACCCGGTCCAAGGTTTCCTGATTGAAGCCTCGGATATTGAGTGAGTGGAGGGTCGGAGCAATCTGGCGCTGGCTTGCGGACTTTTGGGTTAATCCATTAAAGGTAAAACGTCTCCACGAGCTCATTACACCATGATAACTTAATTGTGATGAAGTTGTCATGGTACCCGGAGCGATCCTGTAATTTTGACTTCTTAAAGATACAGATTTTGTTTACAGCTTGATGAACGGCACACATCTTAGTCAGTGCACTCACCGGGTGCTCAACAGTCTGGAGAACCAACCCTACAACAATCCTAAAGGAATGGCCAATGCCAGGGGTAGGCAACCTTCAGCACTTCAGATGTTTTGGACAGGTATAATGCTGTCAAAGCATCATGGGAAATGTAGTCCACTTTCTTTCCTCGTTTTCTCACCGCCAGGAAGCATTTCTCACTCTGTGTTCATACATATATATTTTTCTTACTGGTGAAATGGTAGAAATTCATCAGGGAATGACAAGTTTAATATGAAAAAAAAATGTTATTATTGACGTGGAACTTTTGAAATATTACTTTTTTTGGTATAAAAATTGCAGTTGCTTGGTTAATATCCAACGATTTTTGTCACAACCGCATTCACATAGAGAATAACCCTAACAGTTTCTTGACTGAAACACCAGTTCGTTCACCGAGATAACTTTTATGTTTTTATTAGACTAAAAGTTATGAATTAGTGTTCAATTCTAGTTTGGTTTATTTTAACATTACACCACTGTTGAGCAATTAATGGAGCCCGGGCGTAATACTGCAATCTGACTATATGGTCTAGATATCCCCTACCTCTACCCAATATATGGGATTGGGGTCTGTTTGTGGGAAACAGGAAATTATTTTTCAGGGGCTGGTTTCTTTAAATTAACCTCCAGTAATTAAATAGTAATTGTGGAATCATTATTCAGAGATAAACTTAAGTCAAAGAATGGAATCCAAAAAAGGGAATTGGGAGGCACACAAAGAACATGCATTTCTTAGTAGTGGTACTAAACCCATTAAAATCATCTATCTTAGCAAATAAATATGGGATTTGGTCATATAGTATTGAAATAAGATATTGGATCCAAAGTGATAAACCTGAACAAAACATAACATGAGTTTTCTTTCTCCATCCCAAATGTTATCATGATGAAAACCAGGAAAAATACATAGATCCCATACTAAGTGGAGCCCCAATAAATGAGAATCAAATTTCCACATGCAGTAAATTATGCCAGCAGAATTGCCGATTTTTCCAAGCATGGTATATTGACATATTGCTGATCTGTTGTCATCCTACAGTTAAAGGAACACTATATATATCAATGAAGCGGTCTGGGTGTCATGTGCTCCTCCTTCCCCACTTACTCTTTAACCCCCCAGCTACTGAACAAGAGGTGGCTGCGCTTCTCCTTTCCTCATGTGGGATAGGCATAAGGCTATCCTAACTATAAGATAAGGCCAGGGACTAATGAAAGTATTAAGAAAATTGGGCAGACTAGATGGGCCGAATGGTTCTTATCTGCCGTCACATTCTATGTTTCTATGTTTCTCTCGCCCTACCATTTGCCCGCTCGATGCTGTCCCATCTCACCTCATCAGATCTCTCTCCCCTTGTCTTGTGCCTTCCCTAACACACATCTTCAACTGTTCTCTCTTCTGGCACTGTCCCTGCTGACCTTAAACATGCCACTGTAGTACCTATCCTGAAAAAAACATATCCTGACCCATCCTCCCCCTCTAACTATCGTCCCATATCCTTTCTCCCTTTTTCCTCAAAGCTTTTGGAAAGACTTGTCTTTACGCATGTGTCCCGCTTCCTCAATTCCAACTCTCTCCTTGACCCTCTTCAGTCTGGCTTATGCCCTCTCCACTCTACTGAGACTGCTCTTATCAAAGTTACTAATGACCTAATCACAGCTTAATCCAAAGGTCACTACTCCATATTAATTCTCCTTGACCTCTCTGCTGCCTTTGACACCGTTGATCATGCTCTCCTCCTTCAAACTCTTCAATCGCCCGGTCTCTGTGACACTGTCCTCTCATGGTTTTCCTCTTATCTCTCCCAACGCTGACTGGATGTCCTCGCGCTTTCTGAAACTCAGTCTCTCTAAAACTGAACTCCTTGTCTTTCCTCCTCCGAACACTGATTCTCCTCTCTCGATCTCCCTTCAAGTCAGTGATATCCACATAAGTCCATCCTTGCAAGCACGCTGTCTTGGCGTCATACTTGACTCTGGCCTCACCTTTGAGCCTCACATCCACTTTGTTGCCAAATCCTGTAGATTCCAACTTAAAAACATAGCCCGCATCCGCCCCTTTCTTACACAAGATGCTACCAAGGAGCTTGTCCATACTCTAGTAATTTCCCGCATGGATTATTGTGACCCTCTATTGACTGGTCTCCCCAAAAGCCGTATTGCCCCGCTACAGTCTGTAATGAATGCCGCTGCCAGACTGATTTTCCTCTCTAGTCGGTCCTCTCACACCTCACCCCTCTGCCAGTCCTTACATTGGCTCCCTGTATCCTATAGGAGTCAATTCAAAGTGCTAATATAAAGCACTGAACAATTCTAGTCCCTCTTTTATCTCTTCACAGATCCATAGGTATGCCCCTCCTCGTTCCCACTGCCACCGTGACCACCTCCTCACCGCTGCTTGCAACTATACGGCCAACTCGCGTTTACAGGACCTCTCTCTCTTCCTATGGAATAGCCTGCCTACCCCCATCAGACTCTCCCCTAGTCTTCAATCCTTTAAGAAGTGCCTTAAAACACATCTCTTTAGGAAAGCTTATGGCATCCCAGAGTAACCTCTACCTTACATACCTGTCTCTTGCTCTCTCCTATAGGGCAGAACTCTACTCTCTCCTCCAGCTCTGCTTCAATCCCACCTTATTTGATTGATATTTCCTGTCCTAATGTGTGTTATACCCCACCTCCTACAGAATGTAAGCTCGTTTGAGCAAGGTCCTCTTCAACCTATCATTCCTGTGAGTTTTCTTGTAATTGTCCTATTTATAGTTACATCCCCCCTCTCATAATATTGTAAAGCGCTACAGAATCTGTTGGCGCTATGTAAATGGCAATAATAATAATAATAATGATAACCCTGTAGTTTAAACGATTGCCATTCTACAGGAACATCAATGTTTTCATTACATTACAAGGTTAACCTGCCTCTACTGGCTCTTACTCAGATAGCCACTAGAGTAAACTCTATTCAAGTCAGATGGTGCATCCGCACTAGCCTCCCAATGCTTTTCTATGGGAATTCATTGGATTGGCTAAGAAGGAAGTTGGGCAAGCTGCAGTGAAGTTAACTGTTGAGATGTTAACTTTTAACCCTCACAGGAGGAGGGGCCCAGTCACCTAAATGGTGACTAGGGCAATATTGCGTTTAAGAATACATATTTGTATTCCTAACACTGTAGTGTTTATTTAAACAAACAATCCCTCATTGCATGTTTTCACTAGTTGGGACAGAAGGAATTGAGATTGTGTACAAGCAAGACATTCCTGTTAAATGTTTGTTTGCAAAGTGTCCTGCTCACAGCTTGACCTACAAATAGCCACTTAATGTGGCAAATTGTTTCCACTGTGGTACATACAAAGAGTCACAAACTTTCTACATGTGTGTTTGTTTTTCAAAAGGTCAGTGCCCCAGGTACAGCTAAAACTGACAGCAAACTGTGGCATTTGTTAACACTACTTATCTGTCATGTAAGCATGCATGGAAAAAATTCTGTGTGCTTCAAAAGGTTTGGTGTGGTTTTTTTTTAGATTCTTTTGAGGGGTAAAAAAATAAGCTTTAGTTTTTAGTTTTATGCATTGGTATAATTCCTCTCCTGCAACTGTCATTAAAAAAATCTTCTTCAGTGAATACTATTCTAGCAATCTACTTTTCTGTCCCTACGCTTACCTTTTGTGTCATTTTACCCACTCCCTCTAGCACGTAAGCTCATTGAGCAGGGCCCTCAACCTCTCTGTTTCTGTGCATCCAACTCGTCTGGTTATAAATACGTGTCTGTTAGTCCACACATTGTACTGCGCTGCGGAATTTGTTGGTGCTTTATAAATAATAATAGTAATAATGTACGTTCATTATTTGGAGGAATATGCTGTAAAATAACAGGATTATTTACTAAAGTGCATTTCAAATTTAAGGCCAAAAGAGCTGAATTAGAAAAAGATCAGAAATGCTTTCAATTTGGATTTTTTGTCTACAGTTTTAAATTCAATCCAAATTTTAGGATTATCCACTAAAGTGAGGATTCACAGTGAATTCAAAGTAAATTTCAAATATAAGACCAAAAAAAGGCAAAATGGAAAAATTCTCTAAGTCAGCTATGCATAACCCCTCATGAATATAAAGCTTACAAACAAATGTATCCAATTTTAAATAAAGCATGACAGCACTACTGTAGGACCAATGATAGTAAAGACATTCTAAGTAAGTGGAATGGGCCATTTATATGTCACCCACATATCCCACAGTGCAGTACAATGTCACATGTCAGTCATATTGGGTTGAAAAGCTCCCAAACCATGTGCTTGTGTACCAAACACCATATATTAAATATTGCTCTGGATTTCCTAACACAATACAAACATGCAATGACGTGCTTATTGGGGAGCAATGGGGGTGGTCTGCCTGTGGT